TCGCTTAAGAAAATAATTCCTGTAGACCTGCAACCTCGTTGCTTTTATTCCATTATACCTATACTCTACTGTACTTGTCCTCTCGGATAAAATCACTGTATGATATTTATTTGGCTTTAATCTTTGAATCAAATTTGCAATTTTATTACTATATTTTAAAAGGGTAAATTCAATTTAAGTTTAATAGATAGTAGTCGATTTAGGTTTTTTATCCTTAGTGTTATAATGGGAATTATAGGAATTGTAGCCAAAATAGTTATAATTTATTTTTTGTAAATTATTGGATATCTTAGTCTCTATTAAATACATTTTATCATTATTGTATTTAATCATTAAGATTCCCTTATTACATAATGTAAGCTTAAAAGAGTATAGTTTTCTAAACAATAAATAATACCTCTATTAAAGTTGTTGATGTAAATATGGCTTCTCATATTATGCTACAACTTAAGCTGTATAATGTCAACAGACATGTGTTCTTTGTTTACATTGCAACAAAAATTGAAAAATACTGTATTTTATTAAAACATATCGTTGGGTATTGTACAACACAGTTATTTTTACTAAAATTCAATATGCAAAATAAATTATAATACGAATGATAAGAAACAAGGGCCTTGCGTCGAGGGCATATACAAGAGGGGTATTGTACAAAATCCCCTCACTTTAATAAACCCCAACACACTAACGGAGCGTTAAGTCGTTGAAAATTATAAGTATATGATCTTTAGAGGTATTGTGATATATTTACATCGCAACAGTCGTTGTAAAAAACAACATATTAACTTTGCTAACAACATGTTTTCATAATAACCGCGCAATTTTAAAACAATACAAATTGTGGGAAAATATTGTATTAAAGTTAAGAAAAAGTATTGTTATTTTTTCTGTAAAAAAAACATTGTATCTAAAAATGACTTTCAAGTGTAATACGTAAAATATTAATATTAGACATATTAGGGTATTTGCTATAATTATTGAAACATCGAGATTCTACCGTGCAAGAATAAAACTAGGTCAACCATTTAAATACGAAAACAACTGCAAAACAAACTTATGTTAAGAAAAACACCTCGTTTTCGATAACAAAATAAATAATAGAACCATAAAATTTGTAAAATACGAAGATTCTTAAAATATTCAATGTTTGTGATACCTATAGGAATTCACCATTTATTAACATTACAACAGTCTGTGTTAAAACAGCTTGGGTTTGATAAACAATAAAATAATATTGGATTGTAATTTACACGATAAACTATTTTACAAAACTTCCTTTTTATAAGTTACAATTATAAAATATTTTTGATTTAGGAAAATGCAATACATTAACTAGTAATATTACAATTACGTTCTACAATGCATTCAAACACAAGCATCAAAACAAAATTTTTTACAAAAAAATAGCTCTTATTTTCATTTGTTTATACTGCCTCAATCAAAGCAGATGACAATTTACCTTCAATTAAAAAAACTACATTTATAGAGTTGCTATTCGTATGAATCGGTTCAGTATTAAAAAAGTTACAGTGTATACAACACAAAAAAACACACATTATGGTAAAACCAATAGGATCTCTGCTTTGCATCAAAGCTAAAAACTACAATAAAACTATACACATTTTCTTGTAAAATTTGACAACTCTCATTATGTTAAAACATAAAAGATTATAATACAAACTAAGTAAACCAATGCTCTAATTAATGTATCTCTAAACTTTATACGGTGAATGTAATCCAACCAGTTACATTTATTTTATTATGCTAGATCGGCCCGGCCTGTGTAGAATCGGACTGAAATATTTTTAATTACTAAATTAAAATAATTCTACATCGATATAAGTAGGAATAACAACCTAATTCGAAATGTACATTATTATACAACTATTCAAATATTCGAATCTTTAAAAAATAGGTATTCTATCCCAAATTACAGCCCTATTGGACATCTTGTATTCTAGTTAACACGTAATTTTATAATTATTGTGTTTATACATTCATATTCCCTTATTATCTTACATTACAATATAGTATAGGTTCAAACAAAAAACTTTTTTCCAACAACAGAATAAAATCTGTAAAATGGTTTTATTTAATCTATGATTTAACAGGCGGAGCCTTAAACATAAGGGATGAAGATCAATGTTTTTGGGCATGCCTTTCTTACCGCAACAACTTCCCATTTTGTGCTACTCGCATAAGCAGACAACCGTTTTGAACATAATAAGCGAAACACATTGGTGGGCAAAAGGTGTAGCTTTGAGATAATATTTTGGAATAATTAATGACCCTTCGAATTTACTCATTAATAACAGTATTCGAGTTATAGTAATAATATTTGAATCCTATGTTGGGATTTATTAACTACTACGTTATTATTAGATACTAAGAGTAGTTTTAACGCTCAAACAGGTTATCGTTTTATTGCAAATATACCAAATTTTTGTTAATTTGCAAAATATCAATTTTTAGCTTCGATGCGGAGCTGAGAAGGTAGGGTAAATTTACACTTTGGCCGTAGTCAGTTTCTAGGTTGCTATGTGCGAGTGTATCAACAGTCAACAGATAATGAAAATATTTTTATTATATTATTTATTACGATACATGAGTAACTATGGCAGTACATTTTTATAGACAGACGATCAACCCTTATCCTATCCACCCTGCACAAGACTAAATATTAAGTTTTAAGTACATTATTGCTGGTTCCACGAAATCTTCAAAACCGCTATAACTGGTTTGAACATACTATCCACAGATTCGCATCGAAGCGTTTATTTAAAAGTTATTTTGTCACTTTCAGTTATAATAAAATCTGTAGACCCGTGACCTCTCCGTCCCCACTATGCCCCGACCCCATTGTACTGGCTTTATTAGCTTGAATTTGCAGAAAAAAATCAGATTTTTTCTAAAATAGTTACATGTTATACATGTTTATATTGACGAAACATTAAACACACCCAATTAATTAAGTTTACGTATCTAAGTGATAACAATGTAATTAATCACATTAAAATTACAATGGCTTCTTTAACTTATTAAAAAAAAAAAACTGTAATCTACATATAAATTTGATTTTATATTTTTCTTCTAGGTTAAAAAACAGCCGAATCTGATATTTGTATTGCGTGTTTATTGTTGGTTATAGATTGCACGAACTGTTTTTTAAGTTTAAAATTGTGTCTATTGCCCTCCGTTGAGACCCTACCTTTACTATTACTCATACTACTATAGTATTAGGCAAATGTAATATTATACTCTACTTGGTATTATACTTCACAGTAATGTTAATATGTTGGTCATAACGAAAAATAACAAATGTTGCTTATGTTAACAAATTTCATAAACAATTCTGCAAAATACATCTAGATATTATTGTTTCGGTCGACAATATATAAGCCATTTGATCAGTCGTAAAAAAAACCATTGAAGCAGCCAGTATAACTATCATTGCAATTATTTGGTAAGTAATATACGAAATTGTTTTTTTTATATTTACTGGCTTTATATATTTTCTAAATGAATGCTAATTTGTTAAAAGGGCATCAGTCTTCATTTCGGTCATTTTCACTTTTTTAGATATTATTATCTAATTATTATTACAATCTAATTATTATTAATACAAATATTTTAATTTTTTGGAAAAAAAAATGCCAATATCTTATTAAAATCAATTAAGAACCACAGGGAAAATAATATACTATTAGCTAAAAGCTACATTTAAGACTATAGGTCACTAAAACATTTAAAAAATTAGGACACACATCAAGTATAACTTTACGCGTTTCGGGGGTCCCAATGACAGAAATAGGCATGCGGGTAATTAATCAATCAACTTTCCATCGGTCCAGCGGGGTTTGACTAATTCGTTTAAGTCCAACCGTGTTTGACGATATATCTTTGGCAACGGTGTTTTTGACGGCAAGTCAACAACATATAGTAAAGATATAAAATCTACTTGAACCCTAAACCATAAAAATTTTTATTATGGTTTAGGGTTCAAGTAGATTTTATATCTTTACTATATATTTAACCATAAATTTGCTTAACAGTTTTTTCTAAGTCAACAACAGTTTTGCATTACTTTTCTTTTTTTTTGTTTATTTTACGGTGTTTTTAGCCACTGGCTAACAACCGTCTTATTCCGACCAACCTTGTGGTGTAAAACACCACAAGGTTTTGTATTTAGAAAGTAGTTAGTAAATCTTTCATTAAAATATACATCGTAAAATAAAGAACACACCTACTTAAAAAAAAAACTTACAGACTATTTAAATGATATTTTTTGAAATTATTCGAATACATTTTTCAACAAAGAACTTTGAATAATTTGTTATCTAGATAATTATTTAAATATATTTAATTAGAATGATGCAAAACTGGTTATAACTACGCATAGCATAGTAAATATAGCATGTATCAAAGCGTTTATGTGAAAGTGATTTTGTCCTAGTAAGCTAGTACAGTGGGGTCGAGGCATAATATGATCAAAGCAGTAGGTACGGAGAGGTCACAGGTCTACAGGAATTATTTTTTAACAAAAGTGGTAAAACCACTTTCAAATAAACCCTATAAACGCTTTGATTTATATTTTTAAGAGGGCGTTGCACCGTTGATTTCCAGTGGTAAAAACATGTTTACGCCAACTGAAAATAATTTAAAGTTTAAATTACACTCCAGAGCAATGTAAATAAGTAAACACAATGAAAAAGAAATAATCCCGCTTGGAGTTAAACAATTTACATAGACAACTCTGAAATAAATGTTTAGATTTTATTGTAAGTATACCTCCGTCTAATATAACATATTTTAATTCGAATTGTTATTTGCAGGTAAAAATGAAAGCTGTTTATGTTTTACTGCTATGTGTATTTTCTAATGTTTTGGCAATTGCGGCGGGTATGTAATTCGTTTTTACTAGTACCTACTGAAGGTATTTGGCTTAGGTTTAAAAAAAACTAAACAAAATTTAATATTCAACTTTTTTACAGATGAAAGAGACGATAGAATTAGGCTTGATTTTACAAGTCAGTACATTTGTTGTTTAAAAAATACTTTTTGAAGTTTTAAGACTTACAGTTTTTATACATAATTTATTACAGACTTTCTCCTTCACATACATTATGATAAAAGTAAGACATACTTAAAATGATTGATGCTATAAATTTAAAGGTTTTGTTGTACTTGCCATTTGCCTGACTATAAGTTAATTTATATTTATGAACTATAATCTCTATAAAAAAATTCTTCCAATTATTGGCGTTTGTGTGTATTGAATTTTTATCGAAGAACTCCAGGAATTATCAATAGTGGTGAAGTTGAGGTTTGATGAGGATAATAAGCTTAATTAATGCAACTTGTATTGAGAATATTACTCGAAAGAGTCTCCCACACGAATAATATGATTTCATTTTAATTCAGTCTGTACAATATTATTCATGATCTAGAATAGATATTATAGAAGAATTGTGTAATACAGTTCCAACACGGTTTATTACTAGGTAAATGGGCCACGTTTAACTAAAATTTACTTCTATTCAGAACATTTTTATACATATTATGTCTCATTAAATTTTCATTTGATTTTTTTTTACTCAGTCAATTATTTATTTATTTTAGTGACACTTTGGGACAAAATAAAGTTGTTGGTCACAAAACGAGAAGCTAATGGTGTAGATACATACGACATGAGTAATTATTATTCTATAAAAAAACCAATTAAGTATACTAGTAGAAGAATTTGTTTGGAAATTATACAGTAATTTTTGCAAGAACGATTTATCAATGCAATTTTATGAGTGATATAAATATTAAATTTAAACCACTCAATATTTATTTATAAATGTAACTTCCTTACTATTATTAAACGTGTATTTTATACCTTGATTACCACCTTTGAATGTATAATAGAACATGAAATTATGTCTAATATCGTTTAAAAATAATTTTTTTGTAATCATAATTTCAGAGGAATTGTGTTTTATGTTTTCATTTCCTGGTAATAATTGAAAATATTTCCATATAGTTGTTAGTTATTCACAAGTATAAAAAGTTTTCGTTTTAATTTCAGATCAAAGAATTAATGACAACCCTGATCACCGTAATTCATATTTCACATTATATAATACATTACATACGGCTTTCAGATTAGTTTTTAAATAATGAAAAATTCATAAGCACATTAATTTTGCCATAACAATAGACATATCTAAAAATGTGTTTTGTTTTTAATTTTAGAGCAATTATTGGAGGATGCGCTGCAAGAAACAATATTCGAAGGCTCAGGTAATTATAAAATTCAACATATTTTCACAAACACTTTACAAAACTGATAGTTAACATTTTGGGTAATTAAAAATAATTGTATTTCACATACAATTTTACATAAAAAAAAATTATAAAAAACATTTTTAATTCTTATGCGCTATACTTATTTCAATTCGTGAATACCAATTTTTCAAACTTTTCGTTCAACCAACAGTATGAGTTTTATTTGAACTAATTTGACCGTTTTCATAAACAATGAGTTACTTGAGTAACATGAGTTACTTAACTTCGTTGATGAAAAAAATTCCTAAACCATAAACGGGATTGTGTGCAATAGAGTAATGTAAACCAAGACTACTTTACCAATTTATTGTTTTATAAGTTTTAACATTTTATAGCCACAGTACATATTTATTAAAAAAATCTAGTTCTTTTCTCCGCTCCTCGGAAAAACATTGAATCGTGGAAATGCTTTAGCATTACGGGTCCGTTTAACCATAATGATTGTTTTATTATCAGTTGCCATTAATATAAATATTGAACATTTCAAAAAGATACTTTAGTATTACAAAACTCTAAGAATATGCTTAATTTCAAGCTCCTTCAAGTGACACTCCTGGAACATCTCTCGTTAATTATTCGTAAAATTCACACTGAATAAATAAGTGTACACAAGTAATTGAATGAATAGAAATTAAAATGAAAAAATAAATAAAATAATGGGAAAGTCGTAAAACCGTATCGTCCACCGCAAACATTAATGCCTATCTTATTATCACTAAATCTCTATCTTTATGTTGATGACGCAAAATCGTAACACGATTTTTCCATGCAAATTTTGGAATGACTTCCAGCTCAATATCATATCCATGTTACCTGTAATTTTCAACAAAATTATGAATAATCGTTTTTGACAAATAAATGATTAAGTTAATTAATTAGCCTAAGTTATCTTAATTTTAATGTTGCCGTTATACGTAGATCTAATAAAATAATTATTTTCAATAACCGTACAATTATTATTAATTGCATATTTTGATGTTACCGTTACAGAACTTACTGCCCAAGAGGTTGCAGCTCGTGGTAATTATGTTTTATTCGACAGTTGTATATAGCGCTTAAAATCTAAATGGTCATTCGACATTTCAAGTCGATCCAGGTTTCACAGTCGAAATTTGAAAAAAACAAAAAATAACTGTACGAGTTTTTAAGTTAGAACTTTTACTGGCTGTATTTTCAAGAAAAAGAGTCGGATCAAATTTAAATTATACCCATTTCCCACCCCCTAGGGGGGTACAAATTTTTTTGTTTTTTAGGGTATTTAGCCGTAATTTTAAGACCTTCAGGTTGAAAATTTGCAATTAGTTGGAATTCATATGTATCCATAACATATTAAACGGAAAAAAATGTCGGCACTACAGTTTTCCTTTAATTTCCGGAAAACTGTGTTTTCGCAGATTGAGTATATTTCAACAAAAACACCTAAAATCTTTAAAAAAAATTTATCAAATCATCAAAACAATTTTATGTATATTTATGCAGAATGATAGTATTAAGTTTTGTGCTCAAGTACCAACTACAAACACGATGTACCAGATGTGAGAATCGAACAGACGCTAAAAACTGTCAGTTGGTAACGTCGACCCGTGTTAGGTTAGGTTAGGACCCAACGGTTGGTATCATGATATTTTATTTATTAAATGATATCACAGACGACTAAATCGTGTAACTGATTATAGTAGATACACGATTTATTGGAAAAAAAACCGATCCGTGTACTTATTAAGACACTTAATGGTTCTGACACGACAAAACCACTGTCGTTATCTCGTTATTCTCCATCAGAGTACCAGTATATGATTTAATTTTTATTTAAATGTTAGAAACTCAATTTTTCTTTAGAAATAACAAGAAATTAATACACAGAGTGGGGCAGTAAAACGGGCGATTTTCCAATGTATTTAAATGGGAAAACCCTTTTCAATACCCTACCCTTTACATTTTAAGGATCTATGAAAAGGTTTTTTTAGTTGCATTTTGTTTTGTACATTGTCAATCTAGTAAAATATAAGTATGATAAAGCTTTGAAATAATCTATGAAGTATAAATAGTTTGTGTGAGATTGCTCTAATGGAAGTATATAATACATAAATATTAATTTTATTGAGAATAAGGGATTATAATTTAATCTATGGAGTACAAACGATTGAAGCATGAATCGTCCACCATTCCATCTAAATTTAACAAGACATTGTATATGTGTTATTTGGTCAACTACATTTTTGCAAAAAAAAGAAAAACCAGTACAGTGGGGTCGGGGCATAGTTGGGTCAGGGCATAGTGGGGACGGCTGTACTGGCTTGAAAATACTAACTACCGATTTGCATCGAAGCGTTTTTTCAAAAGTGATTTTATCACTTTCAGATTTAAAAATTGCTGTTAACCCGTGACCTTCCCGTCCCCACTATGCCCCCACCCAAATATGCTCCGTCTCTACAATAGACACCACGTAAACGTATAATTCCTATAAAACATATTTTAACGATTTGTGTGTTTGTTTAATGTGGGTTTTTCGAATAATGTAATTTGGAATTTGGAAATTTCGTCGTGTTTACTGAGTTGAAAAATTTGTCATAATGAAAACACTTAACAAAATTATTTATACTTTGTTTAACACATTTATTGAATTTTTCAGCTATAAGCGGAGATACTATGAAAAAACTTGGAGTTGAGAGAAGAAATTTGTTAAGACAAACTTTAGGAGCTTTAATACTCGACATTGCAAGCTGTAAATAATAAACTTATAATAAAACTAGTAGTTACACTGAAAAAATGCATATTCGGACCAACAAGCACTACATATATCACATGTATAGTTAAAATGACCACGTAAATAATTCGTCCAATTAATTTTCTAGTTAAAGAAACTACAAACTTAGTTCAACAAGTTATTTAACACTTATCCCACTGTTACAGTTTTTTATTAGGTTAATATCCGTACCTCAGAGCAAAAGTGTATTATATAGTAAAATTCAATTTTCCGGTTTTTTGGTTCACCTGCATTTAAATTTCACGCTCTATTCACTGCCTATATATTTACGTTATATAACGTTTGGACTCTTAGATGGGTTGGGTCTAAGTTCATTTATTTTAACTAATTAGTTAGTAATTTATTAATTAGAGTTTAGAGGTGGACATTAAAGAAGTAGTATATTCAAAGGTTTTTACTTCCATAATTATGGATTTACCAACAGAAAAGTTATAGCGAAAAGTCCAGTTTTTTTTTGGAAAATTACTTTCTAACTCAACTTTAGAGGCCCAGGGGAACGGGTCAAAATTAACGGAACGGTCTCATATTTTGCATAATTTATTTTTTGGAACATTAGAACTGATTTAGGTTGTACCGTAAAAAAAAAAAAAAAATAAGATAAGCCTTAATTTTTATTTGTCCAACTATGTATTTTTCAGTGCAACAAGTTAAACTTTTGAACATTTTTTTTTTTAGTCCCAACAAACCATAATATGGAATTTAAATACACATGTCGACTCATAGGATTGTTCATAAGTACAAAATATACAGGCTCGTGGACAAGAACAGCCGAAGTTTCGCCTGATGGTATTTGTGTTATACAATATGGACCGCATTACACGGTTCAATGCAAATACGCTATGATTGGGCCTATGGAGATCCTACGTTGTCTAAAGGGCTCAACCTGGAACAACATCATAGAGTTGCTGATAACATAAATGATTTCTATTCTCTTAGATTTATTTTAATAAAATATAATAAATAGTTTTGCACTATTTTGCTGCCGATTTTAATAAATAAATTTACATATCTGTTTACGCAACACGACACCGTTAGTTGTTAATTTAATAATCACACGGGCCAAATGCCCGCTAATAGTCCGTGTCAAAACAAATTTAATGTACTGCATAATAAAGTCTTTGCTCGCGATTATAAATTATTTCATTACTTTCAATTATAATTTCTATTGGCTTAACATACAGGCCATTTAGGTTCTTTATCGGGACCACTACTCCTCTCCATCCATCCCATCTGTCGACATTGCTTCGCCATTATTTAAAATAATGAAATATTTAAATTCGAAATTAATTGACTTGGAACATAGTATAAAAAACTCTATCTAAGAAACTCAGACTGGTTTAAAAGATAGTTTGGAAAAAAACTAAATATACATAATGAATCAATAACTAATGTCTCAAAAAATATGATAGAAACAATAAAATCTGAATTAAATAACTCAATCAAAAAATGTATCACTAGTTTGGAAAATAAAATAAATATAACGTTAACAAATGATGAATAAAAAAAAAATTAGAAAAAAGTTTAGACAAAAAATTAATGATAGAAACTAGGGTTAAAGCAAATAAAGGTTATTATGAATAAATGATTGTTTGAAACTTTAGATGCTATTATTTTTTAAATTAACCGACTAAGCATACACACCGATTAGAGGAAATCAACATGCAGCTGGATACAATCTAAAAAGTGCATATGAATACATTGTTATAGCACAAAGAAAAGAATTGGTTAAGACCGATCTTCAAATGGTGGTACCACATGGTACATATGGACGAATTGCGCCGAATCAGGAATAGCATGGAAACATTTTATTGATGTTGGAGGTATGCTTATAAAATCTAATCACTAAATATTTTATATTTTTATTATTTTGAAAATTCAATCATTCTGTTGTAGACTTTATCGTTCAACGTGGAGATCGAGTAGCGCAACTAATATGTAAAAAAAGTGTGTACCCAGAACTCAGGGAACTTCCGTCATTAGATGAAACTGATAGAGGAGAAAAAGGATTCGGTTCTCCAGGATAATTTTCATGTGTGTTATGTAGAATTTATGTAATTTTTAATTTATTTAGATTTTTAGATGTTTGAATAATAAAGACAGAAAAGCTTTATGTAAGTTAATTTTATGCTACACAGATTGATAAATCATAAAATGTTATAATTATTGTGATTAATAAAATATATCATGCTATATAAAGAGATGTTATTCATTTCTAGTCTAATTTACTACAATTTGTATAAAATGGGCGGTAAAGCCCGTTTTTGTTACAACTAACATAATATTATTTTAGGCATCATGAAATAGTAAAAAAAAAAGTTACCAATTAACATTTTAACTGTTGGTTTGGTAAATACATTTTTGCTCGAACTGTGATTTAAAATTAATACACACCTAAATTATAGCATCTCCCACATATTATAAAAATAGTAATTAAAACCGTTAAGTCAAACTTCAATGTTATACAGAGTGATCAACATATCGTGAACCACACAATTTCTTATTGGGTTTAATTAATAATTGAATTTTTTTTCCATAATGTTCTTATACAATGTGATCTCAATTTTTCACAAATGTTTTTCTTTTTACTCCCCTTCCAAACTAGTTTTTTTGATAGCAACTTTTGAAATTTAAATGGTAACGCATACATTCTATTAACTTTTTTGATTGAGAATATTGTACTTAAAACTTTGACTGGTCGATTACCAATTTATAATAACTATTTTTAAAGTCATAAGAGTTTAAAAGTTATGATAGGAGGGGATGTGCGGTTGAGAAATGCACGCAGATAAAAATAATACTACACTCCACCTTTCCTCCTGCCCATAACTTGAGATTTAAATAACTTAAGAGTTGCTATAAAAAAAACTAAGTTAGGAGGGGGGTAAAAACAAAAAAATTGTGAAAAATTGAGATCACATTGTATAAAAACAATATAAAAAAAAATTTTAATATATTATTTAACCCTATGAGATATTGAGTAGTTCACAATAAGTGGATCACCCTGAATAGAATAACCCAAAGGGTGGCATTAACACTAATAAATGTAGACTTTGAAGACTATTATGGGTTTCAAAACTTAAAATTTGACCTAATTTTTTTATACTTTTTTTATCGGTGTTGTTGAGTTGTTTTTTTACTGTAGACAACTTTGCAGTATACCTACATTTGGAATACCTACTTTAAACAATACCTTATCGATTGTACGAATAAACAAATGCACAAAAACTTATTTTTGACGCTTTTATCGAAACAGGGTAACCCATCAGTATAGCTCAAATATAATACTTTCATAATTATTCTAATTAGATGGTTTCTCTTATTCGTCTTTTATGGGGCCTAGGAGCTCAGTTCAAGTATATGAACAATTGATAGGATTTAAATTAAGCTTTTCTTTAAACCCGTGAAATCCAGTTTTCGGATTTTTCGAAAAAAATCCGGGTCAGCAGTGCCGAACCTGCTCCTCAGGGAAGGGGGCGACAGCTTTCCTGTTATAGAGTCGTGGTGGGAGGGTGGGTGGCCGGTTGGTCATGAAAATAGACTTGACGACGCTTTTTTTACCTAACCTCACCTTGAGGTGGGTCCAGATGGGTGTCCATTATATTGTTTTGCCCCTCCTACTAAATTTTAGTTTGGTGCCACAGATCTGGTTTTGTGATATACCGTGAAAATAATAAAATAGATTTAAATTTTAAAAATTACGACGAATGTTAAACGCCAACTGGGTGTTTTATTTAATTTTTAAAAAATAAAAGGACCAAAAAAACCTTTCATTTTTTTTTGAGTTGTTAGATCTGGAAGACAAACAACGCGACTTCTATTTTATATATCTCGATTTAACATATTTTAACGTTTTACGAACAATCAGTTATTTCCCTATAGGCTATTATATTTTGTTATTGTCTTTATATGAACAAGCTTCGGCTAATCAATGTTGTAGAGTTAGATCCGTTTTGTTTTTGTGAACATTTTATACTCGCGTTTTACATAGTATACAATTATTAACTTGTATTCTTATTTTGTTATCGGAATATGTTAAAGTCTAATCTAAGTTCATTTGTTACAATGACCTTCACAAATTTGCTTGATAAAATATATTTTGTGCATCCTAGCCTAAAGTGTTCTCAATCTAAATTCAAGAAGGTGTTGTTAAAACCTGACGAGACACCCTGTATTGATATGAGCAACACGAGCTTAGAAAAACATGTTGTTGTACATTGGTTTCTTTGCACAAATCGTAAAATATTATTTGAACTATTGCTAAAAAAACATTTTTTACTGACTACTGTAAAAAAACCTAACAAAAAAACACAAATATGGAAAAATATGCTTTTGTGCGCCCATACTTTCGTACCTAATCCGAAAAAAAAATTTGACAGGTTTTAAACCGACAATTTTAACTTGATATAACTTAGCCAATTCAAGCCGGATCAATTCGAAATTTTAAAAAAACATCGATTAGGCTTGCCTCACATGGCCTGAAACCCAAATGTCGACAACCCATCACCCTCTGCATTGGAACTTTTTTTTTTATTACTAAAGCGCATTTTTAGGGTTAAAGAGCTGAAATTTATTAATATTATTTTTTTAATATTTATCTAACATATTATACATATTATGTAAAAACAAATCTTTCTAAAAGTCTTTTTATAATGAAATAACCCCCAAATTTGCTTTAATACTAATAAATGTGGATTTTGAAGAAATAAAATAAAACAAATAAACACAGAAATGTTATTAAATTTTTACACAAACTAGTATAATTTTTTTAAATAAAATAAAATATTTCTGACAAATGTCACAAATCTGAAATATGTAATTATTACACAGAATACGTAACTACGTATATAATTATCAAATTTGACAAAAAGTTATTTTTAAAAAATCAGTGACTTATGTCGTTTTTGAAATGACTGATTCAGTTTGAAATTAAGTTCGAGAATATTATCTAACATATTATATTACATTTTTATAATGAAATAACCTAAAATTTGGCTTTAATTCTAAAATTTGTGGACTTTGAAGACTATTATGAATTTTCAAAACTCGAAATTTGACCTAATTTTCATATATTTTTTTTTTGGTATTGTTAAGTGGTTTCTTTAGTGTTTAAAACAATGCTGTGGCTACATATAAAAATCTTAAAACAATACCTTATCGGTTGTACAAAAGAACAAATGCACAAAAACATTATTTTCATCGCTTATATCGATACAGGGTATCCCATCAGTATATTTTAATAACTCAAATATCATATTCTCAGATTTATTCTAATTATTTCGTCTCTCTTATTCGTCATTTATGAAGTCAAGGAGTTCAGTTCAAGACTATTAACTATTGATAGAAAATAAATAAGGCTTTTCTTTAAACTCGTAAAAGCCAATTTTCGGATTTCGAACTCCTATGAAAATAATCCAAATCGGTGGTGCCGAACCTGCTCCTCGGGGAGGTTAGGTGGCCAAAAAGTCATGAAAATAAACTTGACGATGCATTTTAGCTTCGATGCACAGCGGCGGGTATTGGTTTTACTCTGATGTGGGCTTTGTTTTTATCTGTATACAATGTAACTTTTTTAATACTGGACCGATTCCTTCGAGTAGCAACTCTATAAATCACAATATTTATCTAGTTGGTACTTTGGGTTGGTAAAAGTTGAAAAAGTTTAATTCTTCACAGTCGAAATTTGAAAAAACAAAAAAAGAACCGTACGAGTTTTTAAGTTAGAACTTTTACTGGCTATAATTTCGAGAAAAAGAATCGGATCGAATTGAAATTTATTAGGAATATTTATTTGGTAAACAAAGAACACTTTGTAATAGTGGTGACAAATGACAATAAGATGACATCCCGCAATACTAGAAGGTATATGCGCACAAAATCCATTAAATTGCATTTATTTTTTGGATATGGTTAATGACAT